TTAGTTTTATTAACTCGAAGGAGTGGATTTTGATCCATCTTTCGAATAGATGGATTGTTTGATTTAGGGGATGAAGATGCTCGTTTCCGACAATTTTTTTAATTTATAAAAAATGATAAGAGATATACGAATAATACAGGCTATGTATTACATATGTAGAATCTATTTTTTTGATCAAAATTCGTACGCTTTGCATGCAACTTTCGAAAAGTTATTCGATTCCCTCCTAGATACACATCCCGTTGTATACTATATCGATATCGTCTATCGTAACTATCAATCGGAACGGCGTATCTAACTCTTTCATTCCCGAAAAACAAATCCAATATTCCAAATAGCTTTGGTCCACGGTTCCCGAGTATATCGTAGAAAACTTTCTCTCGTAGAAACAAGACCGATCCCGGCCAAAAAGACCGGGATTGGATCCGATAGAAAGCCGAATGTTTCCGCGACCTCGACTCATAAACTCGAATCTAATATTCGAAATGGACGTCTCTTGCGAAAGTAATCGATCAAATTCCAAAGTGTGCGCATCTCTCTCCAAAAAAAAAAAAAAAAATAAAAAAGAACTCGTCCCAAAATACGAAATAAAATCGGCAATATTTGCCATTCGAACAATCGGTTGAAAAAAAGTCACGTCCTTTTTTCTTCAACTCTTAAATATCGTCCATCCTTCTCCGCTCCATCTTAATCTTGCTCTTAAATCGCGTCTCTCCCGATCTTTTACCGAATCGATCACCGTTCTCGATCGACTTTAAACTTTAAAGCTGCTCGCATAATTCTTCCTCGAATTGTTTGGCGCACGGTAGTCGCAACAGGTTGCGCGAATTTTTCCACGCCCCGTGGAATTATATCCGAGGCTTTCAGCGTGGAACGTACGAGATACGTTGTTCAAGGGGGTTGTTAATTAGAAAAGTGGCGGAACAGGATCGAGTCGAGACGCGTGGCGATATGCGAGCTACGAGTTTCGATAAAGGAAAAACAGGCGACGAAGATATATATATATATAAATATATTTCGCGGATTGGATTTACGTACCGTAAACACTTAATAATCCGTGGTGATAAGAGAAGTAATTGAATCGGGTTTAAATAGATCGGAACGATTCTAGCGCGTGGTCGATCGTGGAACGATCGAATTTATACTTGGAAATTTGCAATTCATATTTCGGTAATTGTCCACTACGTCGTATATACGCGCGTACTTAGGCGCGTACGAATGCTAAACACCCGTGACGTTACATTCGCGTGGAGGGTCTTGCCTGTTCGGGACAACGGGGTTTCGCGGAATGGATTTTAATCGCGAGTAATGTTATTCGAGCGTCGTGTTCTCGAAACTTTTACTACTATTTTCTTACTATTAATCTTTGGATTACTTATATAAGGGGATGATACGCGAGCTGGAATTTGATATTCGCGTAAATAACGTTGCAGGCTTACTTCTACCTCCAGAGTTTTCGACCAACTCTTTCCGCTTATCGGATTTTTATCGAATTATTATCGAGTTGCGTTGGGATGAAACAGATCGTAGATCGAATATTGCCTTTTTTCCCTTTCTTCCTATAATATTTCGTTATATAAAACGTAGCAAGAGTCGAAGATAAATAGAGACGCTCTCGTGATATTTTTTAAAATCACTTTGATATTACTTGGATATAATACCAATTACCTGGTCAATCTAACGTTTCTTCGTTCGATTTCGTATCCTAAACGCAATCTAATCCCGTCAGGACAAAGTTCCAAGGGGATAGCGAAACTTTCACGCCGGTCAATCTCGATGCAAACGACTCGAGCGTCGGACACGGAATTTCCTTCGTCCCAACTCGCCAATTATCAACATTATCAACGTAATGAGAATTCCTAAGGAGACGGTGAAAACCGCAAACCGGAGAGAGGAGTTGCGCGGGGAGTTGTCTCGCTTCGCCTTTTCCATTAATTCGCGACTCGGTGGACGCGTACTCGTAACGTTATTCGTAACGTGGGTAGCGCAGGTTTGCGTCATATCTGTTGCGCATCCCGTGCCGATTCTCGCGCCTCGATTACACGCAGATTACGCGTAATCACGGGCAACCGATAGCGCTACTAACCGGCACGATCGCGTATCGATGCAAATTACGGCTCGAACCGCTTCGCCTCGACATATCGAATCCCTGACATTTCGCCTATCCGTGTCGATTCTGTTCTTCGATATATCGAATTATCTCGAATTAAAAATTTCCAAACCGTTCAATCCGCCATTCACCGTTTTACTCTACACTTTATGCGTTTTATTAATATCCTACCCTTTCGCTCGGAATAGAAAATTTAAAAGAAAAATATTCAATCCAATAATTCTATTGGATTTATTTATTTATTTTGTTTGATCGAATCAGAATATAATATCGAATCGTATTTAATAATCGTCGTTGATTCATCGATACGAGACACACCATTGGCAAACTGGTGGAAAAGGAAAGTTCCCAGGGGCGCGTGTAATTTGATTACGAGAGGATCGATCGAGGGTACGCCACGAAGTTGCCACTTTATGTAAATTGTTGGGGCTGGGAAGCGTATGCAAACCAAATTTCCTGACCACCGTTCGAACCGGATCGAAACGGAGATCGTGTAAGATTCTAAAACAGTGAGGTGGATCGGAGGGAAGCTCGACCGTTAACCAAGATGAATTTCACGTATTCGTATCGGTATTATTCCCTTTTCGATCGCGTCTTTTAGCACCTTTTTGCCACGGAGCGAATCGATCACGCCATTTGGGAAAAAAAAAAAAAAAAAAAAAACTCGGCGTCTTCTCTCTATTCACTTCCCGCCTCGCTTTTGTACTAGCTGAATAGGATCAAAGGCTAGGCTCCGCACGCTCTTTTTACCGAATCATCTGATTTCTATTACAACGAGGCGGTCGTTACTTATTCCGTTGATGTAACGGTAACGAAACGTGATGACAATGTAAACAGACGTGACTCGATTAGCATAAAGTATCGTTTCGTGCTTAACGAAATCCTTCTTCCCTGAGAAGTTTTTGACCAAAGTTTTTACGCCCCGAGTGCAAATATTTTTGACGCGTACTCTTTATCGAGATATATCGAAATCGGTTGTGCTTGTACAAGAGGGAACGTGGAGAATAACAAAAGACGGATAATTTTAAAAACATAAAAATAGAGCATTTTATTGTTCAGTCACAGGTTTTTTTTTTTTTATTATTCTAACATTATCTTTCACGTCGTCCTCGTCGGGGTAATAATTTGCAAAAGGGAGTAGTATGAGAATGAAAACGTATGAAAATCGCTTGCGAGGAAAGCTGAAGAGGGGATTGATCTCACATTTGTTTGTACATCGTGTTCACGAATTTATTTATAACGATCGTTTTCGGTTTCGGTTTCATTGCGTGACGCGCACCTTTTTTTCTCTCTTTCTCTCTCTCTCGAATCCGACCGTCTCACTTTCTCTCCTCGAGTCCGATTAAGAGAAATTAACATTAATTTTTCTTCTACGACATCCCTCTTGGCTCTTCGAGAAAAATTCGGGAAAAAAGAAGAAGAAGAAATAATAACGAGAGGGAAATAAAAAACGAAGATAGTAGACCGTCGAATTCAAGCAGAGGCCTCGCATGCGACGGAAAACCGTGCCCCGCGCGTCTCTGAACATCCACGCGATGCCTCCGTTCAACGTTTTTCCGGGCGAAATAAATAAGAATATAGAAGTTGCACGCAATATGTTAATACTTTACAAAAGAAAGGAAGTGATTGATATAACATGATAAAAGAACGATCGTCGCTTAGCCTTGGAGGGAGATATTTAAAGTTGGCCGGTCTTATAGATACAAATTAAATACACGTTGGATTGAACGCGCACGATCAAAGGAGGAATCTGGCGTGTTATCCGTGGTCGGCTCTCGTGGACGACACTCACCACGCGTCAATCGTATTTTCGAAAATTGAAAAAACTCGAAAGAGTTTCACGGAAAAACTCGAAGAGGAAACTCGATCGATTATTCCATTTTTCCACGAATCGTTCCAACTTCTTCTTTCGCGTGGATTTCCGTCGCAATTTCGTACACATCCTTTCGTACGCGATATGGCGCCTAGGGTGTTGGTTAAAGTTGGTAAATTCACATGGCACACCGCGAGCGTGTATATATATATATATATATGTATATCAGAGAAGATATCGCACATGGGTGATTCCAAGAGAATAAATAAATCTCTCGTCCGACGAGATCTCTCTTCACGCACCCTTTTTTTAAATTAACCTCGATCAACCAATTACATTGCCGATAGAGACGCAGAAGACGTATTTACAACGATTTTTTTTATAAGCTATCTAGCAAAACTCACTGACTCGCCGCAATGTACAGACACCATAGTATAACCACGAGGGAAGCACCTTAAATATTATATAATCACTCTCTCTTTTTCTCTCTCTCTCTCTCTCTCTCTCTCTCTCTCTCTCTCTCTCTCTCTCTCTCTCTCTCTCCATCCATTTCTCTTCTCTATTTACAAAAGCACACACTGTTTCTCTCTTCGTGGAATTGTCTTTTTCTTTTCCTCTCTCTCTCTCTTTCTCTCTTCCCACGAGTTCTCGACACGAGTTCACACTTTTCGTTGTTTCTTTTTCTTTTTTTTTTTTTCTTGTTATACTTCGCACGAGAAAAAACACAAAAATCCCTTCTCTTGTGGAAAACACTTTATACACTCGGAAGAATCCACTAGTATTTACACTCGTACGTATTTTACCACCTTATTGCACCTATTGTATAAAGGAAACGCACTGAAACCCTTCCCTCGGCAATGCCGAAGTCTTGGCGCACCATCGCTTTGAAATTCACGGCTACGCCCACAATCCCACAATCCCGCACCGGAAGAAAAGCGCGGTGTGCAGCATATATTATATATATATATATATATGTATACACTCACACGCACACAGGCAGACACATGCACACACGCACAGATAGAAACAGCTGGGAACGAAGACACCGAGAACGAAAGCGCGCGGTTGGAAGGTGGTTCATATGTGCACGGAGACGGTTCGCGATCCGTTGGACGTCCTGTTGTTGTGCTGGCGTCGGACAGGCGGCGGTTGCCTCGTCCTCTGCGTGGTCCTCTGATTGTTGGGCACGTCGGGCAAGGCGAACCGCAGCTTCTCCCAGAACAGCTTGTCGCCCCATTGCAAGTAGGTGTTGGTCTTGAGATAGAGCCTGATGTCCGGGTCGAGGTCCCGTTGATGAACGTCGCCGACCAGGACGAGGATCAACCTCCTCCTCCGATCGCGCAACACCTGATGGTGGGCCGATTTGAAGTCGAACCGGCACCACTCCGACTTGATGAAGTTCTCCGACAGCACCATTATCGTCCTCCTCGAGGACTCGACCGCCTGGACGATGGTGTCGGCTATGAAGCTGCCGACGGGGAAGTCGCGGTAGTGGAGGCACAGTTTGTAGGAGGGGTTGCCCATCTCGAGGACGGGGGCCAGTTCCTCGGCGACGAACGCCTCGTCCTTGGAACTGTAGCTGATGAACGCGTCGAACAGTTTGTCCCTGTCGTCGCGGTCCACCTCGTGGCTCCTGTAGAATATCCTCACCCCGAATCTCGAGTGGAACCACACGCGAAGCTCTTGGCGGAACACGAACCCGAGCAGGCACAGGAGCACCACCAACGAGGAGGCGACCAGGGTGGTTACGAGCAGGGGGAGGTAATCCTGCAACACTTGTTTCTCGATGATGGTCTTGGTGAGGTTTCGATGCGCGTCGTTCTCGACGCTCGCTGCGCCCGTGCACGAAGCGCTCTCGTTGCCGCGCTTCTCCTCCTCCGCGCTCCTCCCGTCGGCCACGAGGCGGAAACCGAACTCGTTGTCCGCGAACACCTGGTCGCCGAACGCCTCGAACTCCGTCACGTTGTACACGCATCGCAACGCGGACGCGTCCGTGACGCGCACGTTCGGCTCGCGGATCCACTCCCGATAACTTCGAAGGTAGTCGCACTCGCAGGACCACGGGTTCCCCGACAAACTGATCTCGATCGAGTCGGGGAGCGTCCACACGGCGAGCACCGTCAACCGATTCCCCTCCAATCGAAGGACGCGCAACGATCGTAGGGTGGAGAAGGTGTCGTTTCCGATCGAGGAGATCCGATTCCTGTGCAGGTAGAGCAGCCTCAACGCGTCCAATCCCTCGAACTCGTGCCCCTTCAACTCTCGGATCTTGTTGTCCTGGAGGTGGAGATCCTCCAGATCCCTGAGCCCGTTGAACGATCGATTCTGCACGATCTCGATGTTGGACGAGTTGAGGAACAACACCTTGAGCTTCTTGCGGCCGATGAAAGCGTGGCTGGAGACGAGGCGGAGATCGTTCCCGTCCAGGTAGAGGCGGGTCGCGTCCATCGGTATCTGTTCGGGCAGTTTGCTGGCGTGGCCACCGTTGGAGCAGTCGACCACGTTGGCCGACCACGATTGATCGTGGTAGCACGTGCAGTTGGAGGGGCAGGTCATCTCGCAGTCGCAGGCGTCGAAGTCGCAGCAGTGGCACAGGGCGAAGCAATGGGTGTCGTATTTGCACAAAAACTGGGAGTGGGACGCCTCGACCAGAGGGACGAACGCGTGCTCCCGATCGTAGAGGAGCTTGCAGTAGATGCTCTCCAAATCCATGACGCGCGGTTGCACCCTCGTCTGATTCTGCCTGTTGACCCGTTGCAACCATTCCATGGTACAGTCGCACAGATACTGATTGTCCCCGATGTAGAACTCCGGAAGAGGTTTGTCGGGTGGGACGGCGCTGATCCTCAACGCGTACGGCTCCAAGTTCCGTATCTGATTCCCTTTCAACTCGACCGTGGTCAAGTTGGGCTTCTTGAAGAACGAGTAACTCTGCACCTTGGATATCTGGTTGTCGTTCAAGTACAGCCTCTCCACGCTCATCGGTATCGCGTTGCCCGTGATCTCGGTCAGCTTGTTCTCGCTCGCGTCGAATATGCTCAAATTCAACTGGCTCTCGATCTCGAAGTAATTGCCCAGCTCCCGTATCTCGTTCGAGTGTATGTCGAGCCATTGCAATCCGGTCGGTATCATCGCGTAGTCGAACCATCTCAGCTTGTTGTCGCTCACGTTTAGCCAGACGAGGTTGGACAGATTGGTGAAGAGGCCCGCGATGTCCGTCAATTGATTTCCGTCGAGACGGATCGCTTGGAGGTTTGCGTTCTCGTCGAACGTGCCCGGCTCGATGTATTGTATACGATTCATGGCGAGATTCAATATCTTCAACTCCTTGATACGATCGAAAACACCTTTGCTCAGATTGCCGATATGATTCTCGGTCAATCGAAGCCCGTAAAGTTGGGACACGTGGTCGAACGTGCCGCTCGGTATCTCCGAGATGAGATTCTCGCCGAGGTCGAGGGTACGGAGAAGGGGTGTGGCTTTGAGCGCGTCCGGGACCGACTCGAGCTGGTTACGGTTCAGGTGGAACTCTTGGAGGGACGAGGCGTTCCTGAGGGCGGCCGGGTTTATCGTGTGCAGCCTGTTGTTGTCCAACGAGAGCAGATTGAGCACGTAGAGGCCGCTCAGCGTGGTCGCGTCGATGACGGTTAGCAAGTTGTAGCTGAGCAGCAACGTGTGAAGATTGTAGAGGGCCGAGAACGTGTTCTCGGGCAGGCTCTCCAACAGATTCTCCTGCAACCGGAGTATCTGAAGGCTGTAGAGGTCGCGGAACACGGTCGGGTCGAGGCGGGCGATGCGATTGTTGGACAGGTCGAGCACCACCAACCGTACCAAACCGACGAAGGTGGCCGCGTTCACCCATTCGGCGGTCAACTCGTTGTGGGAGAGGTCGAGCACCAACAATTGGGTGAGCTCGGTGAACAAACCCGGGGGCAACACGTTCAACGTGTTGTTCCGAAGATGGATCTCCTGGATGTTCCTCGCGTCGCTGAACAACTCGGGCGGGAGGCTGGCGAGCCGATTGTCGGCCAGCCTCAAGATGGCCAACGAGGAGAGGCCCTCGAACGCCCGATCCGCCATGAAGCTGATGGCGTTGCACCGTAGGTCGAGGCTGTGCAGCCTCGTCAAACCGGAGAAGGCCGCGGTCGGCAACGATTCCACGCTGTTGTTGCTCAGGTCCAATTCCTTCAATTTCGACAGGCATCTCGAGGCGCCGGTGAAACGAAAACTCGTCACGTCCCGTAACCGATTCCTCGTCAAATTCAATATCTCCAGATTGACGAGGGGGCAAAGGGCGCCCTCCGGTATACTCCACATGTTGTTCTCCCCCAGATCCAATTTCTCCAACTGCTTCAACTCGTCGGTGAACGCACCGCCCGACACGTCCAACGCCATCGCGGACCAATCGGTGTTGTGCGTCCTCACCGTCAAATTCCTCAACTCCTTCAACCCTTTGAACGCGTCGTCCGACAGATTGCCGATCTTGCAATACTCGATCACGAGCTCGCGCAACTCGACCAACGGCCTGAAACTGCCCGCGCTCAACGAGCTCTGGTAGAACAAGGCGTCGCTGCATTCCAACCTGAGACGGACCGTGTGCTGCGGTTGTATCACGCTGAAGTTGGTGTTCTCCAACTCGCTGTTAATAGTCCTCAAACGGCACACCAGCGACACGTCGTCCTCGGTGTCGCCGGTCGCGACCCACTTGCACTCGTCCGGCGCTTTGTACCGGAGCGCCTTGCTCAGGGACGCGCCGAGGACACCGAATATCGTGCCTAGAATTATGGCGAAGAACGCAGGACTTCCCCGCATCTTTCCGCCCGTTTCTCTCTCTCAATCTTCCATCAAATCTCACGCGAACACGGCTCCCACGGCTCCAGCTCCTCTATCTGTCGCGAAACCGGCCGCGATCCATTTAAGTCCAATCAGACCCGCCGATCTCTCTACCTCACGTCGCCCATCCTCTCTCGCTTCTTATCCTCTCCTCTCTCTCTCTCTCTCTCTTTCTTTCCTTCTCTCTTTCTCTCTCCTCCTCGCGATATAAAAAGATTTCTTTTTTTCTCCTTTGCTTCTTCTCCCCCTTCCCCCCTTTTTAAATCGATCGAAAGATATATATATGTATATATATATATATACACCTTTCGCGAATATTCTACGATCTTTTCTCTCGATGCACGTACGAGTATGCGCGCGCGCGCGCGCGCGCCCGTATATAAGCAAGACGATTTATAATCCTGGAGATTTCATCCTCTCTCTCGTGTCCTATCCTCCTTTGTGAACACGGTTTCGAAGAACGGGCGTGGGTTCGGGTGTTCACCGACCTCTCCGAGAATGGTATCGATACACTGGCTCGCGTTATTCCTCCCGAAAGGAGGATAAAAATCCTCGAAACGGACGAAAAGTGACGTTGGGCGTCGACACGCGTGTGTATATACGGCTCCGGTAAGACCCACGGTTCTCCGAGGACTGGTTGGCAAGTTGTAAGGCCCGAACTGCCACCGCTACCCTCGCCCCTCCGCCCACCCTTCCCACCTTTCTCCTCGCCTCTCTGCCCCTCCCCGCCCGCCTTCCCTTCCCCCACCTTTACACCTTCTCACTCCTCGTCGCCGTGGTCGTAGCCGTCGTGGTCGTGGTTCGTGGTCGTGGTCGTGGTCGTGGTCGTCGTCCTCGTCGTCGTGGTCGTCTTCGTCCTCGTCCTCGTCTTCGTCTTCGTCTTCGTCTTCGTCGTCTTCGTCGTAGTCGTAGTCCGTTCTGCCGGGGCCCGACGTTCTGGCAAGCCTATAAAAACAAGACAGGTACACTCTCCGGGCCCTTTACAGTGGCTCCTCTCCAGCATCTGCAGCCTCCATCCACCGCGTCGATCGGGGCCTCCTCGTCCCACCCCTGGTAGTTTCAGTTAGCTCGATCTCGCTCGTTTCGCCTCTGCCCCTCTCCTCGCCTCCTCGCGTTCCTTCCTCTTCTCCTTCGCTTCTTCTCTCTCTCTCTCTCTCTCTCTCTCTCTCTCTCTCTCTCACTCTCGCCTCTCTTCCTCCCTCGGCCCTTTTGCCCCTCCACTCCTGCCTCGTTCCACTCGGCCGTATTGCCGAGTTCGATTCGTCCGTGAAACGCCTCGCCTCACCGTCATCTGTTCTCACATCGTTTCTACGATTCTGTCACGGGGAATGAAACCTCGAAAAAGAATGTTCGCGCTCAATGCCTTTGTGCGAATCCCGTTCCCATTCGCATTCCAGTTGTCGCGAGAGAGTACACCGGCTAGCATTTTGCAACTAGCCTCTTCCCTCCATCCCTTTTCCGCCTCCTCTTTTATCTTTCCACTCCTTGCGACTCTTTCATCCGTGGTTTCGCCGATTTATAATCCGCGCGAGTGGCTGTTGGCGACGCGTATCCGACGCGTGTTACACGAGGGAGGCGCGGGAGGGGGGATAGAAGAGACATACATTGTCCTTTTGTGCGGAATTTTCGCGGAATTGAAAATTCTCTCTCCGTCTGCCGCTTGGCTACCGATGGCGAACGAGGAGAATCATCTCGGAACAATTCTTCGAAATTACGCGGCTCTTTCTCCTCGTCTGTTTTTTTTCGCGTTTCGAAAATCTTTCGGGATCGATCGATCGAAATTTATCATCGCGGTGACGATGGACGGAGCGCGTGTCGTCGCCGCTCACGCCTTGAATACGCGGGGGATACGCGTGGCTCTTTTTTCTTTTTTCTTTTTTTTTTTTTTTTTTTTTTTTTTGTAAAAGTAGAGAATGAAATACTTTCCTTTCACGGCCCGTTTTCCGCCTCGTCATTATTAGCTTTATGGTCTGTTTGGGATTCGCGCATTCCCGGCTCCCATTCAGTGTAAAACGATCGGACGCATTGTGTCAGGAATCGTGTGTTAGGGACACGTCAAGTGGTTCCCTTCCCGTGGAGCAGAGAGAGAGAGAGAGAGAGAGAGAAAGAGAGAGAGGGAGGGAAAAGGAGTGATCCGCCTCCTTTCAGAAAACAGTGCTCGGTAGCTTCCATCTCCCGTCGTTGAAAAGTGATTTGTTACCTTTACCTGGGCCAAACGTAGGGGACCAAGCATTTGGCAGCCACTCGAATACGTTCCACCGGTTGATTTACTCATCGAAATTCAAATAGGAGGATACATCATTTTCATCGGACCAATAAAAGTATCATTAGTAAAATGAATGCCGGTGATCGGCCTCGATTCGTTCCACTTCCTTCGTGTGTACCTTCTTCTTCTTTTTCTTTTTTATCTTCGAACAACCGATCTTAGAAGAGGAGATCTTAAAAATCCCGTCCCAACGGGGGTATAATAAGCTGCGTGCTCTTTGAGAAAACGAGAAACGGATTTCGGATTAATTGACTAAAGTAGCGATGGGCGCGATATTTCTGCAAGTGATTTTCGTGCAATTTTGCAATTTTGCAAATTCGAAGAATCATCGAAATAGCAAGGCAATGTGTACGTGTCGTGATACATGAAAGCATCGAAATTACGCGAATAGAAAATAATCGAACAAAGAAAATTGAAAATTTTGTAAGGAACGAAATTTGTCGAACACTGGTTCAAATTCTGATGATGAAAATTCAACGCATAATACGTATCGGAAAACGAGAAGAAATCGCTACCAAGTTTAGATTTGCAAATCATTCGATACCAATTCCTTTCAAGATACGTTATAAACGATTCGAACAAGTATTATATCATTTATCAGTTCGATCGATCTTTTGATGGAGAAAAAAAATCACGATTCTTTGTCACTTGGAATGGATAATTTGAGAAGGATCTAGAGACTAATTACCTTGCTTAAGAAGATAACGATGGGTTGCGTTTATTGAGTATCACATCGGGTAGGAAAATAAATCGTGAACGGTGGTGGAAGCGAATCCTCTCGGTCGGTTTCATTGATTCTTATTATAAGATCTTTACCAAGGCCGTAGCCTTAAATCGGTATAATATTTCACCTTTCCACGCCGGCGAGTATCGCGTCGATGGGCCACGTTTTATTCAGTCACCAGGTATCCGGTGTTTCGCGAATTAATCGGGATATCACGGCGAAAGTGCGACGAATCGGCCTCCTTCTCTTAATCGCTTCTCATTTACACGGGAGTCCCTGTGCGCACTTCTAGGAAAAAGTCCCTCCTTTCCGCGTAAACACTCGACAGATCCTACCTGCGTTCTCAGAGGAGACCGTATCGATTACAAAAATAAAAAAAAAAAAAAAAAAAAAAAGAGAGACAACCAAACTCAAAGAGAACGGACGTGTTATCTCACAACGACGATATTTCCGCGAAAAAAAGATGTTTCGTCTTCCAAAACATACGTCTCGTCGTATCGAAAAAAATTATAAAATGAAACTCAGCTTTCGCTCAATGTCGCGCGCGATTTTAAAAGAGATATATATATATTATGGGAAAGATTAACGATAAATGGATAAATTTCGGGTGATTGCGCAATCCTTGAGATTTTAAAGAAAGGATTCCCATGATGATTTCTCCTGGAAACAGGGAGGGAAGAGGAGAGCAGGCATCCACGCCGTCCACTTTTTTACCCCCTCCCCTCGGTTGTCGGGTTTGATTAGCGAAGCGATGTGAATGAGCCTTAAGAAGGAGGATGCCCCTTCGATGGCTGCGCCGCTGAAAGGTGGCTAGCTGGCGGCTGGGATCGGCGAAAGCGGTCAGTGATCGCTGGGGCCTCATGCTCGGGCCCCTCGTTGCTCACGATCCCCACGTCTCTCCCACTCCTTCTCTCCCCTTCTCTCCCTTCCCCTTCCCTCCCTTCCCCTCCCTCCTTCGCCTCTCTCTCCCCCCCCTCCCTCTCCTCCATCCACGGACCCACCGTACGCCCCACCACCGTCCGCCCGTGGGCCTAGTCTCCTTTCAACGGTGCAGGTGACGGGGCATTCTTTTAAATCTAATCAACTACCGAACCTCGGCCCGATATATACAGGGTGTTACCGAACTGGCCTGCCTGACAGCATCCTTAAAAATAGGATACCAGTCGAGTCCTGACAAGGTGTCCACTTATCGAGTCGGCCAAGGTGGCCGCGCGTAATTCATGGGTTCAGGAGGGAAGGAGAGAGGAGCGAGAGAGCTCCGCTGCTTCTGCCTTTCTGCTTCTTCTCTCTCTCTCTCTCTCTCTCTCTCTTCCTCTCCTTTCTTTCTCCTCTCTTTCTCCCTCCTCTCCAGACACGACTCGGTATACTTTCCTTCCCTTCTTGCCTTCCTCTCCGTCCCCCTCTCCCCGAGAGAAGGAGAGATTCTCCTCGATTTTTCGACGCGTTTAAGGGCAGTCAAGTTCCAGTTACGAAATCTCTCTCTCTCTCTCTCTCTCTGTCGCTCTCTCTCCCAGCCACAGGAAATCGACGAGGATCGATCGATTCCCTCGCGGAGGGAATTAAACGATGGCCGATGAAATAATATCTCGATTCTTCTCGGCTTCATCTTTTCAAGAGCTTTCAGAGAGCCGCTTCGTTCCGCGACGCGGAACGGATTTTCTTTTTTTTTTTTTTTTTACGGATTTCTTTCGACGATCGATCGAATTCGCGAAAGGGGGCAGATCAAGGGAGATGCTCGTAGGATCCTACCTCCTACGAGATGAACACGTGTACCGCAAGCCCACCCTGTATATCGCGCTTCGAGATATCGCGAGGCGCACGCGATGATCCAGAAAGAATGACTTACGCTCATTGAACGGAGCGGAGACACGGCCGTTTTCACGGCTCCCCGACGAATCACGCGATCGAATGCTCGAATGGAACACGAATGGGGAGGGGGGAGGAGGACAATCGTCAGAATTTCCTCGTTTTTTCTTTTCTTCCCTCCCC